GTTTTCCATAGTGGCCGTACCAGTTTACATTCCCACCAATAGGATACAAGGGTTCCCTTTTTTCCACATCCTCGCCAGCATTTGTTCTCTATTTTCTTTTTGATAACAGCCATCCTAACAGGTGTGAGGTGATACCTCACCGTGGTTTTGATTTGCATTTCCCTGATGATTAGTGATGTTGAACGCCTTTTCATATACCTTTTAGCCATTTGTTTGTGTTTTTTCGAAAAATGTCTATTCAGGTCCTTTGCACATTTTTTAACTGAGTCATTTGTTTTATTACTGTTGAGTTATGAGTTCCTTGTATGTTTTGGATATTAATCCCTTATCAGATATGTGGTTTGTAAATATTTTGTCACATTCCATAGGTTACCTTTTCATTTTGTTGGTGGATTTTTATTGCTGTGCAGAAGGTTTTTAGTTTGATCTAGTCCCACTTCATTATTTTTGCTTTTGCTTCCTTTGCTTTTGTTGTCAAATCCAAAAAGTCATTGCCAAGACCAATGTCAAGGAGCTTACCCTCTATGTTTTCTTACAAGAGTTTTATGGTTTCAGGTCTTATGTTCAAGTCTTTCATCCATTTAGAGTTGAGTGTTGTATATGGTCTAAGTTAGGGGTCCAGTTTCATTCTTTTGCGTGTAGCTATCCAGTTTTCTCAGCATCGTTTATTGAAGAAAGTATCCTTTCCCTGTTGTATGTTCTTGGCTCCTTTGTTGTAAATTGTTTGACCATATATGCATGGATTTATTTCTGGGCTCTCTATTCTGTTTCATTGATCTGTGTACCTGTTTTTATGCCAATACCATACAATTTTGATTACTATATCTTTGTAATATAGTTTGGAATCAGAAATGTGATGCCTCCAGCTTTGTTCTTCTTTGTCATGATTGCTTTGGCTACTTGGGGTCTTTTGTGGTACCATGCAAAATTTAGAATTTTTTTTCTATTTCTGTGAAAATTGGCATTAGAATTTTGATAGGGATTGCATTGAATCTGTAGATCACTTTGGGAAGAGTGGGCATCCTTGTCTTGTTCCTGCTTTTAAAGGGAAAGCTTTCTGCTCTTCACTGCCAAGTTATATATTCTTGACCGACATTCCAGCTGTTGTAATGGTGATTTTTTTTGTGTGTGTGTGAGGAAGATCAGCCCTGAGCTAACATCCATGCTAATCCTCCTCTTTTTGCTGAGGAAGACCGGCTCTGAGCTAACATCTATTGCCAATCCTCCTCCTTTTGTTTTTCCCCAAAGCCCCCGTAGATAGTTGTATGTTATAGCTGCACATCCTTCTAGTTGCTGTATTTGGGACGTGGCCTCAGCATGGCCGGAGGAGCGGTGTGTCAGTGTGCAGCCAGGATCCGAACCCGGGCCGCCAGTAGCGGAGCGCGCACTTAACCGCTAAGCCACGGGGCCGGCCCTGTAATGGTGATTAAAATAAAAATGAGGGGCCGGCCCGGTGGCCTAGCGGTTAAGTGCGCCCGCTCCGCTGCTGCGGCCTGAGGTTCACAGGTTTGGATCCCAGGCGTGCACTGACACACCACTTGTCAAGCCATGCTGTGGCGGCATCCCATATAAAGTAGAGAAAGATGGGCACGGATATTAGCCCAGGGCCAATCTTCCTCAGCAAAAAGAGAAGGATTGGCAACGGATGTTAGCTCAGGGCTAGTCTTCCTCACACACACAAAAATAAAATAAAATAAAAATGATATTTGTAGTTGAGGAATGTGAAAGAAATTCACAGATACATTTTAACCACAGTGAAAATTATAGCTGCACCTAAATTTTATTGCCTTTAGAACCACTGAATTCAAATGGAGAAGAGAACAAGATTATTAGTCGTTTATGCTGAGAAATCTTAATACAATATGAGGAATTATGATTTGAGTGTTTGAGGTTTACTTTTATTGTGATGTACAATTGATTGAAAAGCCATTTCCTCCCATTTCCAAAGCACATACTCTGGAATTCCTTCCCTTGCCAACCAGCAGGCATGCAGACTTCTAAATACTGCAGACTCTGTTCACAGAATTCAGCGTGGATTTTCTAACTGTGGCTTTAGGTCTTGTGTCACAGTTACTGTCAGGATAATAAATTATTCCCTATGCCAGAAACACCCTGCGTGCTATAGACACTCAAAAATGTTTCTACAAATAAAAAGCAGAGTTTTTATTTCAGAAGCAAAACACTGTGTTTCTAAAGTAACATAGGTGACTGGTCTATTATTGACAGGCTACAATTCAATTGCTACTAATAACTGCATCTTCTCACTATGCATATATATGGAAGTTAAGCAGATAACTTGAGACTTTAAAGAAATGCATACTTCATGTATATACATGTAATATCTGGGATTTGCTTTAAAATATTCCAGGGGAAGAAGTCCCTGAGGGCACTGTGGTGATTGGGGAAGAATAGACAAAACAAGCTTGAAATGTTGATATTTGTTTAGGCTTGTTGTTGGGTCCATGGGTATCCATTATACCATGATTTCTACTTTTGTGTGTGTGAGTGCAAATTTCTACAACAAAATGCTTAAAGAAAGGTGAGTTTGCAGTGTGGATATTGTAGTATCAAATGAAACTAATGGCATCAAGGACCTGCCACATTAAAAGCAAGTGCTAATGTTTCAGTTAATGTATTTTTTGCTTGTATCTAGAAAGAAAGAAAGGAAAGAGGGAGGGAGAGATTAAAACAAAAGAAAATTTATCATATTTGTTCATTATTTTCCTGGTCAAAATGCTGTTGTTAAATTATTCACATTTTTCAGTATACTGTTTTTTTGGTGTGGAAGATTGGCCCTGAGCACACATCTGTTGCCAGTCTAACTCTTTTTGCTGGGGAAGATTGGCCCTGAGCTAATATCTCTGCCCATCTTCATCTATTTTTTATGTGGGACGCCGCCACAGCATGGCTTGATGAGTGGTGTGTATGTCTGCGCCCGGGATCGGAACCTGTGAACCCCAGGCCACCGAAGCGGAGTGTGCGTACTTAACCACTATGCCACTGGGCTGGCCCCCAGTATACTTTTTTTGTTAAAGAGATTCCTAAACTTCTTACTTGCTTTCAGAGCACTTTTAGTGGAGTTCTTTAATGAAGTGTTTATAGTACCTGGAAGTTACCATACAGATCACACATGACTAATAATTTAGGTGACAAAAACCATGAACTATACTTCACCATAATTTCTACCGAGAAGCATGCCTGTGACTGCTAGAAAGGCGATGGCCCAGGTGAGAGCAGTAATCACAATGCAGTGGAAGTGACATGGGTTGGGATGGAAGACTCTGCATCTAGTTCAGGTTCTGCTGTCTACTCTTGAATGACTGGGCAAGTATCTTGACCCTTCAGGTCTTCAGTTTCTTTTTCTGTAAACTCTAATGGATGGGTGGAGAGTTCTTTTAGCTAATAAAAATCTATGCTTCTGAGGCCCACCTTATGCAAAACCATGGAACTTATTGACTTTAGAGTTGTAAAAGGAGGATGCTGGGTCCTTCATCTTCTGCTTCTTCCCCTATCTCCACCACAGAGGAAGGGATGTGATATACTTAACATTTTGTTTGAAATGCTTTTGCTTTTATTGTTTCTCTTCCCCAGGCATTTGCGTTTTAATCTTTCTTACATTTAATTCTGGCATTCTGGGATAGATGTCTTATATCCGGTTAAAGTGATCTTAGTCCTCAGTGAGGAGATTAGAAGATGCTTATCTTTTCATCTATCTGCTCATCCAACAGTGTTCCTCACTTCCTGAAATTTTTCTGTTTGTTTTTGATGGCTAATGTGCCTTATCATTTTAGACCCGAAGCCTTAAACTCTTATGTCTATAGGGGCCAGCTAGATAATATAGTGAATTGAGCCAGGTGTCAATTCTGTTTTTTTTTATTATAGTCATGTTGAGTTTTCAGTTCTGTAGCTGATATTTGGCCTTAAACTTGGGGCCATAATAGAACATGGTGGGGGCTTTGACTAACTGGAAAGCTTATGACTTTTCTGAGGGTGCATATGCTGCTTGGTCCCACATGATTGTTGCCATTTAGGAATGGTGGGCCCTGTGTCGCCAGATTTTCTAAATGTTCAGGAGAAATATGGTTGTGGCTGCCATTTTCGGATCTCTGTTTAATTCTTTATGGGTAAACTACCTTAGACATTGTCCTTAATAAATGCTTGAATGCGAAAAGTTAGATGTCCAGTTAGTTGTTCGATTCTTCTGATTCTGTTGGAGGTGGTATGCAGGTGACGCCTCTGCTTGTGTGGTTTCTCTCATTGTGGTATTCTCGTAGGAAAGGATCGAGGGATTATTTGGACAAGTAGGACTCGAAACACAAGACTTTCTCTGTGTACTCTGAGATTAGCTATGTAAAATCAGTATATTACAAAGTTTTTCTTCTCTGTGGCAACAATTAGATTCCTTAAATTGGATAATTTGCAAACAAATCTGGAAAATCTTAAACATTCGTAGTGTTCCTTAAGTTAAGGAATGCATTTTCCCCATTGCTTTCTGTTCCCATCACCACTGCACTCTGTTTTCTTCCATCTCTCTCTTTCTCTCTCTTCCTTTCCTTCTTTTCCACAGCCCTGAAGTTGTGGCCTATCTATGATGTATAGAATATTCCAAGCATTGTGTACATATAGAATCTTATAAAGATGTGGACCCAAAATTCAAGAAATTCACAATTTAGCCAACATCGACCCATAAAAGTTATTGAGCACTCATGGAAATTGATGTGTGATATAAAGGAATATTTTTATAATGCTCATATATTTGGGTTTTGGGTTATATGTAAATTATAACACTATAAAATAGATTTAAACAAATTCCTTAAGGATGAGTTCTCTTTCTATAGGCTGGAACACATTTATAGTGTTATGAAGCTGTTGGAACTCTTAATTATGAGAGATCGTTTATGACATGGCACCTCTAAAGAGTATTATTAAATTCTGGAAGTTATTTCTATTCAGGTACAAGTCCCTTGCTCTGACATTAATATAATATAATTATTGTATAGGATGGGATCTTTAAGATGAGCCTTTCTCCAGATGGGACCCTCCTTGCAGCCATTCACTTCTCGGGGAAACTGAGCATCTGGGCCATTCCATCTCTGAAACAGCAAGGGGAATGGAGTCAAGATGAGCAGGTATGTCTCTTGATTATGATTATTTTTAGAATGATTCTCTCTGAAAGGTGAGTAATGACAATACTAATTTCATTTTGTTGATATTTTACTGTAGTGCACAGCTATTTGTTCTTATCATTTCAAAGCTTTTTTATTTTTTTTTTAATTTATTTTTCCCCCAAAGCCCCAGTAGATAGTTGTATGTCATAGCTGCACATCCTTCTAGTTGCTATATGTGGGATGTGGCCTCAGCATGGCTGGAGAAGCAGTGCGTCGGTGCGCGCTTGGGACCGAACCCGGGCCGCCAGCAGCAGAGCATGCGCACTTAACTGCTAAGCCACGGGGCCGGCCCTCAAAGCTTTAAATTATAATATTATCAGTATAGTAGGGCAAATTAAGAATAGAGTAACACTGTGTACTAACTTTAATTTGTAGTGCAGTATACTCTGTATATTGAGTATAATCTGTCCATCAAACTCTGCATATTTTCCTTTTTCTCACTGCAGAAATACAGAATGGAGTTGTTAATTTTTCAGCAAAAGTCAGCTAATATAATCAATTCTTTGGAGGGTCACTATCCTAAAAGGGTTACAATTCTTTCCAAATTTTGCAGCGCTAGTCATATTGGGCTTGCTTAAGGTTTGAAGGGAGTTATCGTCTCTTCACTCAGAAGGTAGATAGTGAAGATATAGTGAAAGAACTGTTAATTCTTTTTAGTATCTTGAAATGACAGGTTTTAAGAATGAAATGGTTGGGGCTGGCCTGGTGGCACAAGCGGTTAAGGGCGTGTGCTCTGCTGCGGCGGCCCGGGGTTCGCCGGTTCGGATCCCAGGCGCACACTGAAGCACTGCTCATCAAGCCATGCTGTGGCGGTGTCCCATATAAAGTGGAGGAAGATGGGCGTGGATGTTAGCCCAGGGCCAGTCTTCCTCAGCAAAAAAAAAAGAGGAGGATTCACAGATGTTAGCTCAGGGCCGATCCTCCTCACAAAAAAAAAAAAAAGAATGAAATGATTTGGTTGTTTAGCAGCAGATAGAATCAACATCTATTATAACTGAAAATCATGATGAGCAAATAAGGTCTGCTCCTATAATGCGATGTATTGTGACACAGTGAAGATTTAAAGAAAAACCTTCTCAGTTAGATTCAGCTTATGTTATAAATCTATTACTCCTCTGATTTTGCATTTTGGCACTTTAAAGGTTAGTTTTCCTTCTCTCATTTCCCCCTTTCCCTTTTCCAGGAGGAGTATCTTGTCACTAGCTTTGTGGATAGTTTTGTAATTCTAAGATTGGAGCATATTCCCTGAATGATCTGAATGGATCAATGTCTTTCTTCAGAATTCTTTTTAGTTTCATTTCATCAATTAAATTGCACTATTTCAAGCACTCTTAATCAGCAAACAGCATTTTGTTTTTTTCACAATGGCAGAGGAAAAGAGAAAGTGGCTCCACATTTTCTTACTCTTCACGGACTTAAATTTGTTTTGGCTGTTCTTCAATTTTTTGTCTTATACACAAGGTTAGGAACATTTTTTTCCCTGTAGTTTCTACTCACCTTGAATTGAATTTGGTGTCCACACCTATACCACTCTCTCACTTCTGGATCTAGATTTGTTCTAAATAGGAGAGATACTCCTCAGTCTTCAACCTCAATAGCTAAATACAGGGACATTCTTTGTCTCTCCTCTGAAATGACAGCTAAATTGACTTCTGTCTTCACTCTAGAAGTGGAATGGATCAACTCTCAAAACCGTTAGTTTAACATATTTAGCTGGGCATGTCAGATAATTGATCCAAAAGGTTCCATGTAATTTTCATGGTTATCAATGTGTAGTGATAAAATATTCAGCTTTTGTCACTTGGAAAGATTCTAATGTTCTCTTATATGTGGGAAACTTTACATTTGGGCAATTTTTTTTTTTAATGGTGAAAACTTTTGAATATTAAAGGCTTTTTCCCTTCTGGCTTTCTGTTTTCTTAAATTATTTTCATTCACCTAATAGATGGGGGCCGGCCCTGTGGCATAGTGATTAAGTGCCCGTGCTCCGCTGCTGGCGGCCTGGGTTCGGATCTCGGGTGCGCACCCTTGCACCGCTTGTCAGGCCATGCTGTGGTGGCATCCCATATAAAGTGGAGGAAGATAGGCACAGATGTTAGCTCAGGGCCAGTCTTCCTCAGCAAAAAGAGGAGGATTGGCATGGATGTGAGCTCAGGGCTGATCTTCCTCACACACACACGCACAAAAATAAAATTATTTTCATTCACCTAACAGAAATATTGATTAGGTTCCGAGGCACACTTAATATTTCATCTTGTGAGTGTCCTACAATGTCATACATGTAGTGTAAAGGCTATTCAAGCAAAATCCATTAGTGTTCTCTTGTTTACTGAAATTCCAGACACCCTTTTTTTTTGCCTGCAAAGATAAATTGCATCTGGTGTAGTCTTTATTGATATAGGCTCAACTTTTTAACTGTTGGACACTTTTTGTTATTAGTTGCCAGTCAGTGTCATTATAATTCATTACTCTTTAGTTCACTGATGTTATTTATTAATTAGATTTTTATAGTGATTCTATTAAAAAAAAACTTAAAAATTGTTTTAAAATCTTGAAACTTGGGAATAAGTATAAATATCTCAGTAGTTTGGAATAGGCCATCAGAAAAGTAATGGGACAGGAAAGGAAGGAAATTTGGAAATGGCAACAGAGGTGCATGGTGGGAAGAGATGAGTTCAGGCCAGAAGTTGGTCTCTAGCGTCGTCCTAGTGAGTCTTTTGAACAGAAATACCCTGAGAGTTTAGAAGGGCAGGTTGTCAGGAATTGCTGTAGCCTGATTTTTCTGTGGTACACCAAAGAGCTTCCACGTCACCTCCTGTGGCTCTAATCCAGTGCCCCGTAAACAGTCTGCAGATAGACCATGTGGTAGTGTAGCTTGATTCTCAAGCTAGTTGTATCTTTTATTACAAATTTAGAAATTTTTAGGGTTATATTTCAGTTCCTTCTGATTTAGTTGGTATAAGTTATTTACCTTGAATGCTCGAGCAACCTGGAAAAAATAGGTTTTTGGGTTCACAAAACTGAAAGCCGTGCACCTGATTGCCATCACCAAGGACATTTTGCAGTAGTGGAATCCTTTGCTGAGAGAAGAGTGGCTTAGCCGTAGTTACTGAACCTAATCCTGCTTTCACTGCCGTTCCCACTACTGCTCAGCACACTGCCTCGTTCCCGAGTTCATCTCATCACCGGCCAGTGGCTGCCAACCCCTGCATTTTCTTGGTGCTGCATAGCACGTGGAAAGACACTAGCTGAGTAGAACAGACTATGCCTTCGGAGACTCCTGCCAGATTTAGCCTCAAAAGAAATTTTTGTCCAAAGTTGAGAACACAGAGGGCATTTAATTTTATCCATTCTTTCTTTAAAATTCTAACGTTCTGGCCAAAGTGCAAACTCCTTTGTTTACCTGCTATCTTTGATTATTATGGCCCTTTACACTTGCTTCTTGAACCTTCCTCCCCCTGCTCTCTACTTTTGTCTAATCATTTCTACTATACTTTCTGAAACTTCATTCCATCATAAACAAATTTCTATGAGACTTCAACATTTTTACAGAACACTCTGGTTTCTTTCAATACCCCTATTTCAGGCTTATATAGCTCGATAGGATCAAGGTGCATGTATACAATATTCTTGTAGCATGTACAAAATTTACTTTAATAATAATGTAATTTTTTTTTTTGTGAGGTAGATCAGCCCTGTGCTAATAACATCTGCCAATCCTCCTCTTTTTTTTTTTTTGCTGAGAAAGACTGGCACTGGGCTAACATCCATGCCCATCTTCCTCCACTTTATATGGGATGCTGCCACAGCATGGCTTGCCAAGCGGTGCGTCGGTGCGCGCCCGGGATCCAAACCAGTGAACCCTGGGCCACTGCAGTGGAGCGCGCGTGCGCACTTAACCGCTTGCACCACCGGGCCGGCCCCTAATAATAATGTTATTTATTAAGCACTTATTTTGTTCCAGGGTTATTCAGCAAGTAAGCATAAGATTTGATTTCATATCTCTCCAACTCTGATTTCCATGCTCTTTCTATGACTGTGTAGGAAAATAAATACATTTTAAAAAAGGCAGGAAAAAACTGTATTTATTTGATGCCCTTTAAAAGAACAGAGACAAATCCTTTTTCTCAGTGACTGTAACACAGGTTTCTTTAGCCCTCTCAGATGTGTTGAACTCTTGAGCTAGTTAGTGTGTACCAGGTACTGGAATAAATAGTTGAGGTAGCCTCTCACTGGTAAATCCTTAATTTTATAGTAGATATTTACAGTACTTATGATATGGTGGGAAATGAGGTGAGGGTGGTAACTCTTTGTCCAATAAAAGGAGTCTGAACAGCTATAATTTGAGTCTTTCACCTGTTCACTGGGGATTAATCACATTGGATTGGGTATTTTAGATTTGAACTTCAATATATGAAGGGAGTCATTAAAATCTAGTGTACTAGAGTAAGTGCTATAAAGCTTGTATGTAACAGTACTATAAAGAATGGGTCGTTACTATATTCATAACAATAATCATAAGATAAATTTCAACTATTTATTGAATCTCTACCAAGTGCTAGAGTAGAAAATGCAATAAGTCACAGTTCTTGTCCTTCGTCTTACCAGGGAAATTATAAACAAATCAGTAAAATAACATGTTAGTATTGTGAGAAGATAAGCTCTGAGGAAAGGCACATAAATTCAATTGGTAGTGTTGACAAGAAGGATTGTGGGGAATAAATAGCATTTGTATAGTGAGGCTTGGCTATCCACAAAGAAATTTTAATCTATTTCATTTGCTTCACAGCAACCCTGTTAAGTAAAAAATGTTTTGTACTCATTTTAATAGATGGGAATAGTGCTAAAAGATGTTAACTTAGATCACTAAATGCTAGAATCAAGATACCATTTGACTCAGGTCCTCTGACTTCATTGGTTAAGCTCTTTTCCGAGTATTTTCTTACAGTGCTTACATTTAG